TTCTGATAAGTGGTGGATTTCTACTGGAAATATGATAGAACATGGCTTTGAATTACATATTTAATAAAATTTTACAGTATATTGCAGGCAAAGTTATCTCCAGGAATCCTTCTTACCACTAATCCTTAGGATCAGTCTAAACTCTAAAATGAAATTAAATATAAATCTTTGGAGTTTATTGTTTTTTGTCAGTCGTGAGGTTTGACCTCTGTGCCAGAGCACTGTCCCTCAGCTCTTCAGCTCAAGGTGAGCATTCAACCACTTGAGCAACAGCACCACTCCTAGTTTTCTGAGTGTTTATTGGACATAAGAGTTTCATGGTCTTTCCTGCCTGGGTTGGCTTTGAGCCGAGATCCTCAGATCTCAGCCTCCTGAGTAGCTAGGATTATAGGCCTGAGCCACAGGCGCCCAGCTAACATAAATCTTATAAGGAGAGTGTTCATCTCAAATCTTTCATTTTACCCACATGAATTTTACATATCTTTATTTCTCAGTGCAAACCACTCTTCTTGACAAGGGGCAAGGGCTCAGTAAACTAGAATAAATTTTAAGAAGTGAGCATGACGATAGAGAGTCCAAGAGTGATCAATCTGTTTCAACAACTTAACAGGTGAGCAGGCAAGAGAAACATAATGAAATCAAATCAAGGATAATATACCACAGAGTAAAATAAATGTCTTACAGAAACATGTATGGCAATGTAAGCTGTATAATTAAAAGGTTAATATGATTGCAGTATTATTGAGAATGAGAAAAGTGTAAATTTTTAATAAGATATTGCAATACCTCAACTGTTATATTATCAACACATGTGAGTGTCATTGAGCAAAAAAAAATGTTTAAGAAAAAAGCCCAAATAAAGAAGAATATATAAATAAAGAAGAAGACAAAGACTTCACCTAAGAAAAAGTGTCCTCAATTCTTTGAAAGAAACAAGGTTATTAAAAGTAAGTAAGGGTAGTAAACTTTTCTCACCAGATAGAGAGAAATGTCTGCAGTGTTCAGATCATCAGTATGCCAACACACAGAGGACTCAGTGTTTGTTGAGAGCTGATAGTTTCCTGGGTTTTGGAGATCCCTTGGGCATGGCTCTGGTTGTCCTGGGTCTATGCTTCTGTAAGATCACTGCAATTATTCTTGGAATATTTTGGAAACACCATGACACTGCCATTGTGAAGGCCAATAACAGGGCTCTCAGCTACATCTTGCTCATCTCCCTCATCTTCTGTTTCCTCTGTTCCTTGCTCTTTCTTGGCCGTCCCAACACAGTCACCTGCATCCTGCAGCAGATCACATTTGTGATTGTGTTCACTGTGGCTGTTTCCACAGTGTTGGCCAAAACTGTGACTGTGATTCTGGCTTTCAAGGCCACTTCCCCAGGAAGAGGGATGAGGTGGCTGCTGGTATCAGGGGCTCCTAACTTCATCATCCCTATTTGTACTTTGATCCAACTGACACTTTGTGGATTCTGGCTGGGAACCTCTCCTCCCTTTGTGGACACAGATGCACACTCTGAACCTGGCCACATCATCATCCTGTGCAACAAGGGCTCCCTCACTGCCTTCTACTGTGTCCTGGGATACCTGGGTTCTCTGGCTCTGGCCAGCTTCACTATGGCTTTTCTGGCCAGGAACCTGCCTGACACCTTCAATGAAGCCAAGTTCCTGACCTTCAGCATGTTGGTGTTCTGCAGTGTGTGGCTCACTTTCCTTCCTGTCTATCACAGTGCCAAGGGGAAGGTCATGGTGGCTGTGGAAGTCTTCTCCATCTTTGCCTCTAGTGCGGGACTCTTAGGCTGCATTTTTGTCCCAAAGTGTTATACCATCTTGTTAATGCCAAAAAGAAATTCTCTGCATGGCTTCAGTGATAAAAGACATAATATTAGAAATAAGCATTCTTAAGATTAAGCACATAGTTTTGATTAGTATTCACAAGGTCTGATCTAATTCTGCAATCATAGTTTATATTATGAAATGTATACTTCAAAGACTAAGCATCTACTGTGCATTTTCCTAACAGTGGTAGTCACAAGTGATGGTGATCACAATTTAGTCTGGAATTTTGCTTCTATATTTGGTTCCAACTTTTCAGTCTACAATCGATTCTATTATTCCCTTTTCTTAATGTCTTTTCCCTCTTGTCTTTTTCAACAACTCTCCTAAATTTTTCAGTATATTAACTTCCTGTTTGCACACCACCATTTTGGAGATTCCTCAAATCCATTTCATTAATATTCTCTTCTTCGCAAATTTACATCTTTTAATGTGGTCCTTAGGAAAAGTATTGTTCAATACTTGTATATTTCTACACACACGTTCACCTCTTAAAAGTATCCTGAGTCTCTTTTGTAGGACCTTACTCTCAGTCCTGGTCTCTCTTTTTCTTTGTCTCTCTCTATATTCTTCTTTGTCATCCTCTTCCCTGTCACACTGCTACCCTCATATATCTTAGAAATAACTTGTATATGCTATAAAAATACATTTTGATTTAAGGTTACAATGTATGAGATTTTTTTAATTTTCTCTTAAGATTAAAGTCTGTCATACATAGTAGTAAGCTTCTTCTTGCTTAGGTTTTTTTTTATTTTTGGTTGAATAATCACTGTACATTAATTTGACAGCAAGAATTTGAATTTTAAAAATATATTTTTTGTAAAATCATCACTACTTATGACCTGTTCCAACAGGAAATATTTTTAGTTGTCCCATTTCAATCCTCTTTATATGGCAAGCTTTACTTACTGTTTCATATAGGCTGATTTAGTAGGCTCCATATTATGTTTACAGAATTACATATTTAAGAGATTTAGACACAACTGCATTCATTTCTTCTCTGTTCAAGAC